GGCTGAAACCAGGTCGGTTTCTGAAAATAAGTTGGAAATGAGTCCTTTTTTTTACGATTATTATCGTAAATCGGATTGTTTTGAAAATGAGCTTTGCTACAGGGACCCAAAATATGAGACCAATAAAGGGGACAAGTGAGGTGTCCCCCTCCTATTGGATAATGAGTTGGCCATCATTAATGATGGCCAACTCATTATCCAATAGGAGGGGGACACCTCACTTGTCCCCTTTATTGGTCTCATATTTTGGGTCCTTAAAGAATTTTTCTTTAAAAATTTGTCCTTTTTTATGCCCATCACAGTTAAGGTGTGATTGTACTATTTGTAGGCAGTCGGTTTCACTTGGGTTCTTAATTTTGGGGAGAACCCATAAAAAGAGATTGAGAAGTAGGACCAAAATTAGAAAAATGTTCCGATTTTGACGTCTCCTGGTTGCTCTAAAGATCCAGTCTTTTGGGTCATTTATTCTGAAGCTCGGAATTTGATTTTCTTGGTATCTTGTATGTTACGTAGAACCTAGAGTATAAAGAAGCGGTTGATGTAAAGCTCTATTCGCCGAGTTCTACTCGATATGGCTCGTACTAAGGGGCCTCTGATTCTCCCTATGCCAATGGATCCCTTCACAATTCCAATGGTGTTGAAGAGAAGCTCGATGAGCTTCGTCGCCTCTTCGGGAAATCCGATGGTGACCCCCTAAAGATAGTCGGCGTTGGCGCCGGCGCTTGGGGCAGTGTCTTTCTTGCCCTAATCCAAGATGCCTACGGCCATTTAAGAGAGAAAGTCCAAATAAGAATATGGAGAAGAGCAGGACGAGCAGTTGATAGGTCCACGGCCGAGCATCTCTTTGAAGTAATCAATTCCAGGGAGGACATACTAAGGCGTCTAATTCGTCGATGTGCATACTTGAAGTATGTCGAGGGGAGGCTTGGCGATCGAACCTTGTACGCCGATGAGATATTGAGGGATGGGTTTTGTCTTAATATGATAGATACGCCACTTTGCCCGATGAAAGTCGTGACTAATCTGCAGGAGGCGGTTTGGGATGCTGATGTTGTGATTAATGGACTGCCTTCGACCGAGACGAGAGAGGTTTTCGAGGAGATTGGCAGG